CAGCCTGGTGCATTCGCGTCTCAAACTCTGCATCCCACGAGGTCCGGTTGCCCCCGCCTCTTGCGATTCTTCATGTGGTCTGCCACAGAGATGCTCCGAGCAAACCAGAAACACCCTGTCCACAGCAAGCAACACCAAGGAAAGAGTTGGAAGGGCTGGCTGACGCCGATCGCTGACTCTAGTAAGCGCAGCACTAGGCGCACATGTCCATCACCTGTTCTGGATGACTCTGGAGATCATGGCGCCCTAACTGCAACCTTCAGGCTGCAGCATCCCTGCCTCGAGGGCCAAGGAGTTCGCCTCCTTGTCCACCAAGTCCGCTATGATGGATTCCATCTCATCCACGAAATTAAGAAACTCCACCGGAGAAGGCGAACCAATGCGAGCGAAGACTGAACCAAGAAGCTGCAAAAGCCGACAGTTCGGTGCCCTGCTGCATCTGCGCCTTGCGGGGTATGTTCGTGACAGACAAAGCGACATGCCACAAGGGAGCCAGCTCTCCTCGAAGTGCCTTCGGAGGTAGGAGAGGAGCTAATTCGAAAAGTCCTCGTAAGTCATACATGCCAAAGCAAGCACGCTTCTTGTTCCATACTCCTTCTGGACCTGCTGGGATCCACGTCATGTTCTGCGGCTGAAGGGCCTGCGCAGGTGCCGGCAACAAGCCCTGCCGGCGGCACGAGTGCATGCGCGGATTGGCCTCGATTCACAATCCGTGCTGGTTCCAGAAGTAGCCGTGCAAGACCTGTGAACTGGCAAGCTCTTACAAGAACTCGCCTGCCCGCAAGGACACCCAAGTCCCCGACGTAGCATAGTGCCTGTTGTGCCAACAGGCCATCCGTCTTGACAAGCTCTGTGTACGTCTTGAGAAGGGCTGTGTACGTCGTCCAGCCCCGACCGGATGCTTGCTAGCCTGTTGCCGTCGACCTGCTGTTCATGGAACGGAAAAAGCAAACCGTTGCAGTGCCATAGCAAGAGACTGTGGGCGACATTGAGTCTGCAATATCCTATCGGCACTGGCAGCAAAGCAGGCCTTCAGCACAGTCGTTTCATCGACATCTTGTTTGGTCGCAACTGAATGCCCAAGAACTTCGTGTTGGAAGTTACGCCGCGTATGTGTGCATTGATGACGCAAAGCAGCATAACCAGCCATGGCACGAAGCAATTCTACAAACTTTGAGGGCTGATGCAACGCTACGGCATGGAAGTGCATGTGCGTTGTCCTGTCAAAGTGCATAGATGCAGAACCCACTGCCCAGTCACACCGACCCTTAGAAATCGTGGAACATCGAACTGCATGCAGCGGCCTAGGATTGAAGGATGTGGCAGGATCTCGAATTTAGAAACCGACCAAATTCTAAAAGGCATGGATGTCCCAGATTCCGTGTTAAAGCCAGATGCACCCCCACTGAAACAATCACGGCGTCAAGCATGTTCTTGTCCTGGCTGAAACTGCTTCCAGAATCACCGGAGTGCAGCTACAGAATCTCTGAAGATGCTTTTTGTTCGCACTGTCTGCGCTGGCCTCAGAGCCCACTGGCAGTGCTGCTGGTGTCACTCTGAGTCCTTTCTGCACACTGGCCGTATTAGCCGCAGCTCGGCGTAGGAAGCAGTCCATTCTTGGCTGCGCGCCAAGGGTAGAAACTGGTACTCGGATTCTCGCGAAGCAAGTTGCAGCATTCCGGGGTGGGAAGAGGACTCTTGGATGCTGCCTGACTGGTGTGCACGACACAGCTGGTTACCAGTTGTGCAACGATCCACTGACAACGTAACTGTAACAAATTCCGTCTGCAACTGCACCAAAATGTAGAAAAAGCTGCTGGCTGCATGAATGCAACAAGGCTGCGCAGAAAGATACACATTGGCATTCTAAGATTCTAGGTGTTATCGTGTATCGGTTGTCTACCCAGGATTCACACACCCCGAATAGTATCGTCTCGTACTTAGTCCGCATGAGCTCGCTTGCTAAGTTTCACTTGCTTCGGATGATGTGGCGAACTTCGTCCTCTCTGCGGCGGCGTTCCGCCTTCTTGCGCACGCGGGCCGGTATTTTGGACATATCCAAGATCAAGCTAGATCCTCCTGAATGCGCATTCAGCATGTCCCGCCGTTGCACAAGTTCAGGCACAAGCCAACGCAAGACAAGCATGGCAGCAGCGGATCCGGCGCTGGCGCCCGCTACAAGTAGGAGCAGGATGGGATGATGGGATGGATGACCAACAAGCATAAGGTTTCTACCAACACCCGGTATGAAGAGGGCCCAGCAAATGGCTTCAAGCTGAGTCGCTTCTCACTGCCCAAAGCCACACGGGCCAACACATCCGACCTGAGCAGGCACGATACCGCCACCCCGTGCTGCAAGTGCTCTTCATCGAGTCACCGGCCGTACGGAGGCCCTGCGATGCAAGACATGGCTAGGGATCGTCATGAAGCTATGCAGAAGCAGCGGCCTCTGCCACGGCCTCGCTCGTTGCCTAAGACATAACACGACAATGCGCATCGTAAAGGATCCAGCCAACTGAGCGATGGACGAGGCGGAATGTCAAGAACTGTTCGAGGAAGTCTGTTGCCTCACAGCTGGGAGCTGCGGGCATGCAAGGCTGATGTGGACTGCAGGACCTCTCCCGGCAGTTCCATCTTGGTGCCCAGGTACTCCACGGTTGACACCTGCACGCAAGGTTCATATGACATGGACAGCTGCCTACCTGTGGCTGCCTGTGCTTTTTGCCGGTTCCGGCAGCCATTGATCTCACGTTATCTGCGTTCCCCTCACTTCGGTGGCATGTCTGACTACCATACCAAGAGCACTTTGATCTATCAGAGCCAACGAAAGCCTCTCGCATCCGCGCCTGGGAAGCCGAAGAGGCGCACGTGCTTTTGGAGGCCCTGCGCCGAAACTTCGAGTTTGGGCCTAGTCGCGCTTCGAGTTTCAAGGAAAACGCCAAAGCCCAGCACTGCGAACTGAGAACCATGAAGGGAAACCCCCAAAGCTGAGAATCCTGACCGAGCACACTCCCCACCTTCTGCTTCGCTTTGCTTTGCGGTCCATGCGAGCCATCGCCTCCTTCTCCAGACCCTGCGAAGAAGGTCGGGACACGAGAGGCTTGCAGGCACTGCAAATATTAAGCTCTGTGCAAGCCTGTGCACAGATACGCTTTTATTTTCGTGGCTAGACTATGCATGCGACGCAGCAGCCCCGGCCGCCTCTGTGATGCTGGGCCACGAGAAACTGCAGAGGCAGAAAGCCTGAATGGTACAACGGGGCCGCGGTGTCGTGCTCGAACGAGCACGGAGAGAACCAAGCCGAGTCATGAGGTTGACCCTGTCCGCGTCGTCTTCTGAACCCCTTCTGTTCTGTTGATCTCGGACTGTTGACCATGGGATCGTCAGAAATTACGGAAACAGCTCAACCAGCTGGCTGTGTATTCCCAACCGCGCGGAAACTACCACATGCGATAAATGACCAGCGAGCACCGGCAAGACGGCCATGCTGAGTGTCAGGCCATCTTCGTGCCAGAGTCCAGAATCAGATCCAATCGTCAGATATCCTTGTCGGGCATTCAGCTGCATCTTAGGGAGGGAATATGTCAAGGAATCAGGATGTACGGCTCTGGGGCGTCGAGGATGTCGGTGTCTCATTCGAAGGCATTTACAGGCTGCGGGCTTAGGATCGGAAGACTGTCGGTACGCTTCGAGTTCGGGGTTTGGGAGGCTCAGGCTGGACCGCGTGCGACACCGGCATGGCCGGGTGCAACGAGCGGACTAGAGCCGTCGCCGGGCGCCACGGGGGCCAGGGACAACCTCGGCGGAAAGAGAAGCTTGAAGGCTTGAAGCGAAGCCAAACCCCGAAGCCCAAACTGTGCCACGCCGTTCCCAACAGCCCTCCGAAGCTGGGGCATCGGCCAGGTGGCTGTCCCATGGCGAGGCCCGGCCCGGCCCGACGTGTTCACAGCATTCGAGCCGCAAAGGGCCCCGAACAAGACCCAGATGGCGCCGCGCCACCAAACTTCAAACCCAAGCCCTGATGATGGCTCAAGCCCCGCCGAAGCTGGCTTTTCACGAGCGACATGCAGGGAGTGAGACGGTCAAAGCATCAGCGCGCTTGAGCTCCCTCTATGACCCGTCCGTCTGCTGGTTGACACACAGAGCTCTGATGGACGTTCTGGGCCGTGGACTCCGTAGCTCGGGCGTTGTGGTCAGGCAGCCAGGATGCCCTCGAAGCTGCAAGAAACTACTGCATTGCGCTGATCGTGGGCAGTCGGTACATCATGGTTACAGGGCTACAGCGTCTACGACTCGACGACGACGGCGATCTGTCCGGGAATACTTTACATCGTGCGACTCTCTGCACATGCCTGGGGATAGAGCCCCAGCAGAACTTTATGACGCAGGGTTCCCGAGCAGGTCAGACCAACTACACGTTGAGCAGAAGAGCTGTTTTGCTAAGTGTAATCAACAAATGTCTTGCATCCGGCGCCTTTGGCACCCGTCACGGACTGCGACAGGCAAACAATCACCATTTACGCTGGCTTTGCATTCTATGTTCCCGGTGCCAAGTTCTTCCACGCTTGACACATACAGTATGTCCAGGGCCTCGCTCGACCCAAAGACACCGCCCGTCCCTTTCCCCGACCGAACCTCCAGTCCTGCCAACTCCACAAAAAATCATCAAACTGTGCAACAACGAACATGAATTCTGCCAAAACAAACCATCTCCACCACCACAACGGGAACGTTACGGTTATGATCTTGGCGGCCAATCAGCAGTGGGCATCGACAAGTTAAGGCTTCGGCAAAGCCAATTGAACCAAGCTTCGTATCGTCGTTGAGGTGGACCTTGACAACTCCGACGCAGCTGCGGAAACGAGGCGATGGCATGCAAGGGGGGGTAGCGATGAGACGAGGCCAAATGCGAGCCGAACACACGCACACACAAACCAGCGATCACACAAGCAGAAGCGCACGAGGCCAAGGGCATTGCGACCAGCGGTGGTGGCCGGTCTTCACGCCGCGACGGCCTCCCAAACAAGGCTATACGTGGAGGATCATGTGGGACTTAGTATGTCAGGTTCTACGTACCCTGATTGGGGTTACAATTACATTAACCATAGTTACCCTATTGAATCTTATTGATAACCCTCTATAGTTACAAAGTCCTATGATCCTCCAAGCATGGGCTCATTCAACGCCGAGGCCTCAAGCCGAGCCGAACTCCACTTGGAGCGGCCAGGACCAGGCCTCCTTTGGAACTTCGGTCTTTTGTGATTGCTACTGTTATTAATTAGTATTGTTGTTATTGTTTGTTGCTATTGTGAGTATGCTTATTACTTTGGTACTAACTGTTATTATACAAGGTTGTATTATATTATAACTAACTATATAGAATATACGGCAGCTTCCTAGCTTGCATGCGCATCTTCAACCGGTCCAAACATAGATGCTCTTACAACCGTCTCTTTCGGTCGCAGCTGAGGACATTGCTCTCTAACATGCTCTCACAACTCGGACAAGCCAGGCGAGGTCCAACAGGTTGCAGGTCAAGGTTTGGGGTTTAACAGATCTCGACACAACCCTCTGTCTGTTGGTCGCACAGCTGTCGTCCTCCTACTCCCCCTCCTCTTTCTCGCCATGATACGCCATCTTGTGTGAAATGTGAAAATGTAGCTCACTTTTGACGTGGCGAAAAAAGAGCCGCTAGCCAACTCAAAGTCTTTCGAATGATGACCCAACACGATACCATATCCTAATTTTAGACCAGACAAGCGGGCTGCAACCTGAACCCTAAATGTGGACACCCACCCTCCCTTCCTGAGCCTTTCCACCCTCCCTCCCCTGTCCCAGTTCTCTGCTTTTCCTGCGCTGGTGAAACATTGTGCGTCACTGTTCTGGGCATCTATGGAGCAGGACTTTTCAAGCTTCTGCAAGCTACGGTTTAGGCAATTGGCGGCAAGAGGAAATTTTAAAGTCCACATCCCAGCATGCAACACTGTTGAGATCGGGCTTTGCCGATCTTCCTTGGCAGTACTTCTCACCATGACGGATACCAGCACATCACCTACTGCAATAAGCAAGCATTGGTACGCACTGGGTCCCACGACAAATCACGCGTGTTGGGAATGCGGTGTTCGCAAGCTTGGAGCAGAACTCCCCTATTCGCATCCGGTTGCCCAGAAGCTACGGTATCTGTGTAAGTGAGGCAACGACACAAGTGAGGGGACTGTACACTCCATATCCCAACGCTCAACATTCCATTCTAGATCCACGAAAAGAAAGGAGGGTTGCAGCAAATGGCAACATCTTCCAAGTGTTGCAGGATGATGGACAAGTGTGCGCAATCCAGATTTGAAGGGACTGGTTCCAACGCCTGTCGCAACTGGCGAAGTGCTCGCTGGCGCGGCGTCCCATTTCTCCTTTTGGCTCTATATGCTGCGGGTAACGGCATCAGCCCTGCCCTTTGCCAGAATGTGTTCGAGCCATCCCGCGGTGTCAGCATGAGCGCCTTGGCCTGCAAACTCGCCGCAAAATCCCGCATAAATTGCACCAGAGCAGTCCCGCCTCCTTGCCCCATGGCGCCGCAACCATCCACCCAAAGCACAGTGTTCTCGCAAATCAACATCGCTTCAGCTCCGCCAAGAACGTTAATGACGCACCAGCTTTTGTATGCGGCTGGCGTGAGATACGCAGCAAAGTAATACATGGAGGGGTTTGCTGGCTCCAATTCTGTTGCTTCAAGCCCCGTGCCGCCATCCAAACGAGCTTCCATGATACTCCGGGCCGCTAGCCCCAACGGCCCAGTGGGCGCCACTAAATTGACTGAGACATCAACATTGACGGTGAGCGGCTCGAATACGTCAGTCGCTTCATCTTCAGTCGTACAATCCGAAATAGCAATAGAACTCGGCGTGCACGCGTCCTCCAGATCTTGACCGGCAAAGGCTTCATGACCGCGCAAGTCGTCCTCACCGTCACATTGCCAATGTTTCACAACTTCGGATGAAACTTGGTTGCATGAATGAAACTAACGCCTAGAGGTGGTCGCTTCAGACCGACCCCCGCTATGAACAAGACAAACAGAGCTCAGAATTAAGGGGTGGTGAGTAAAACGTTAACAAGGCATGGTTAAAACACGCGTGCAAGGCACGAGCGTTCTCATTTTCAAAACAGTGCGGCCCAATGACAGCAAGCTTTTCAACCATGCTGGTTATCTTACAGAACGTAATCCATGTCATCGGTGAAAGCATCCAGGCTAGCAGAGACCCCGTCCTCGTCCTCACTGCTTGAAGCTGCTGAAACTGCCGAGCTGGCAGCTTCTGCGCATTGTGTCGTTTGGACGCGCGCGAGGTTTTGAGACAGGTCCGTCAACAAACTGATGCCCACGGTGGTGCCAGCATCCTGAATGGCTTCTTGCATGTACTTCATCGCTTGGTTCCTTCGCAAGCCTCGCAGCAAGCGTGTCTCATATCCAAAGAATTCCCGCACCGAGTCCAGCTGCCCTTCGCAGACATTGCCATGCCAGGTTGTGAGCCCGAGCATGTCTTCCACCCATTCCAGCGACATTGCGCCTGAAGAAAAATGAGATAACTACAATCACTACAGAATGAATCCTTCGTTTTTGTTCTGATGCATCTCCCTGTCGGAGCCCCGAAGCTAGACATGGAGTTGTACGGGCTTACGCGTGCAATTGCTATGACTGTGTGAATGTGGCGACGGTAATAGAATCGAAAGCTCCAGCAGCTTGCGAATGTTTTGAAACTTGGCTCCTGGCAGGAGGAGCTTTCAGGCGTCTGAAGGTTCGATAATATAATAACCACACAAGAGTAGTGACAATAAGACTAACACCACAATAACAATACTAACCACTATTATATTATTTTCATGGTAAGAATAAGGATTTTAAGGAAGCGTAAAAAGGAAGGAAGGGAAGCAACCCCGTGCCTCGCCAGAGCCTCCAGCTGCACGCCATGGAGGGAAGCGAGAAGCTCCCCCGTATGATCCTGGCATCTCTTCACTGTTGTTATTGTTACTATCATTATTGAATTATTGTTACTATTTGTCTTGTTATTGTCTTGTTATTATTATGAAGATGTTGTTATTCTTATTGTTACTGTCAATAGTAGTAGTAGCAGTAGTAGTAGTAGTAGTAGTAGCAGTAGTAGTAGTAGTAGTAGTAGTAGTAGTAGTAGTAGTAGTAGTAGTAGTAGTAGTAGTACTAGTACTAGTACTAGTACTAGTACTAGTACTAGTACTAGTACTAGTACTAGTATTAGTATTGGTATTCGTACTATTATGAATATGTTCTTAGTCTTATTGTTACTATGCGTATTGGTACTATGAATACGTTGTTATTCTTGTTGTTAGTACTAGTATGTTTTGTTGTGAATACATTGTTATTCTTATTGTTACTATTAGTATTACTATTATGAATATTATTTATAGAGCGAGGAAAGGTTGGTAGCATCGTTGTGCACTTAGATCGAAGAGGTATGGGAAGGAGCTAGCTTGGCTGTACTAAATCAAGAAGTTTGCCGAGCCCAGTCGGATTGCGCGGCCTTGAAGCTTTACTCTATGGGGGCTGACCCATCGTGAATCTAATGATCTGCGCCGCCAGAAACGAGTCAACTCGTGGAAATTACTATACAACGGAAGCTCGCAAGTACCAAAGCGCAACTTCTTCAGGCTTGGCCGGTCCTGATAGCACGGTGCCGTTGCAGCAACCGAGGAGGTTGCCTCTTCAAGCCTAGTCGACGCGCTTGACTGACTATCAATCCTTCGCGACTTTGACAAACGCTCAACATCATGAATAAGCCACGGGCGTCTGTGCAGCGCTTGCACAGGCCTGATCCTGCTCAGCGCGCCTCGAAAGCAGGAGGGTCGAGAGCGCCGGCCAGCGCTTGAGGACAACCGGCCGACGGCCAGCTGAGGTTTCCGCCCTTGGAGCCGTTCTGCACGGAAATAGAAATCACTGCGGCTCCGAAAAACTGACTCCGCCTTCATCGAGGACAGGTCATCCATGATGTCAGCCATGCTTGCCTTGCCCATGTTGCATAACTAAGTCAAACAGCCCCGCCTCAGTTTCGTCCTAAACATCCCGGGTGCCTGCCATGCGTCTTGCACGGCCATATGCTCCGACCTGTTGAAATGCAAAGCTGTAGTTTACCAGTTGACCACAACCACTCAGACGAATGAGCGGCTGGGTACAGGTCTTCAGTCTCAGCAACTACATCTTAGAACCGACTCCCCAACTGGACATTACGTTTCCTGTCATATGACTCTATGAACCGAAACCATGTGATGTCTCATTAGCAACGGCAGCAGCGGCGGTATCATCATCATTCTCATCATCGACCACTCATCATGTGTCATCTTCTACTTCATCTTCGCCATCGTCAATGGCAGTGGCAGCCGCCGCGGCAGCATCAGGGGAAGGCCGGCGGCAATAGCAGCAACAGTAGTAGTAAGTAGTAGTCACGCTCCGCACAAACCACACTTTCAGTACACATGCTCGAACATGCTTACCAGGTTGAGCTAGGCTTGGCCATGAGACAACATGTGCAATAAGGTCAAAACACTTTTGTCAGCAAGGCCTTGCCTGCGGCAAAAGATGCTTTGGCGCTGTTCACGTCGAGATGCAGCAGCATGTCCACGCACCGATCCCGAGCCGCGGCCGAGTGAGTTTTCACAGCCTTCCAAGTTGCGGCTTTGCGGGCACATGTGGTCCGCATTGAGTAGTAGTAGTAGCAGTAGTAGTAGTAGTAGTAGTAGTAGTAGTAGTAGTAGTAGTAGTAGTAGTAGTAGTAGTAGTAGTAGTAGTAGTGGTAGTAGTAGTAGTAGTAGTAGTAGTAGTAGTAGTAGTAGTAGTAGTAGTAGTAGTAGTAGTACTAGTAGTGGTAGTAGTAGTAGTAGTAGTAGTAGTAGTAGTAGTACGACGCAGTAGTACGTAGTAGTACGTAGTAGTACGCAGTAGTACGCAGTAGTACGTGGTAGTACGTAGTAGTACGTAGTAGTACGTAGTAGTACGTAGTAGTACGTAGTAGTACGTAGTAGTACGTAGTAGTACGTAGTAGTACGTAGTAGTAGTCGTCGTCGTAGTAGTCGTCGTCGTAGTAGTCGTAGTAGTCGTAGTCGTAGTAGTCGTAGTAGTCGTAGTAGTCGTAGTAGTCGTAGTAGTAGTCGTCGTCGTCGTCGTCGTAGTCGTAGTCTAGTAGTAGTAGTAGTAGTAGTAGTAGTAGTAGTAGTAGTAGTAGTAGTAGTAGTAGTAGTACCGTAGACCGAGGTTTCGGGTTTATAGGGTTTCGGGCCTAGGGTTTAGGTTTTGGGGGTTATACGGCTTGGGGCGTAGGGTTTCTTAGGGATTACGGGCTTTTTTTGACACTCACACTCGGACAAGCCTGGCAAGGTCTGTAGATAGAGGTTCGACGAAACTACCTGGTCTTCCTGAGTTGTAGGTGTCACAAACTCAGGTTGCTGTCAGACGAGATCCGAGAAAGGCCTACCAGCAAGTGTACAAACATAACACGTGATCGCAACTGACAGCAGTCCCTCAAAGCGCAAACGCTAAACCAATTAAACCCCACGACCTAGTTGGGCTCTCTGAGGGACCAGTGAAACACAGACTGGTAACTAGTGGTACACTCCTCAACCGGCGATTATCATAACACCATGCTGTTCCCATGCAGAAAGAAAGGTGTTGTTGGCTCCATGCACATGGCAGCTTGCAGGACGGTGGCAAATGTCTTCTTATGTCCGGGCAGGTCACGGCAAAACAGTTTGTGTAAATTCATCTCCAGAGTATCCAGAAGCACTCTCCCATGCAGAAGCATGCAGATACATGCAGACGCAGGCATCCGACCTCACATGTCTGTCGGCAGTATACATCGGCCTACCGCGAAACATCCAATCGTCATGCAGAATATGTATTCCCAAAGTCGCATTCGTGTTGTAGGGACCAAGTATGTAGGCAGGCCCATAACGGATTACAAGCATGCAGACTCCCATGCAGACTTCCAATGCATAACTATGCAGTGCAGCGAAATCAAGAAATTCCATGCAGAGTTCCATGCTCAGGCCCAACCCATCAGAGGGAAGAGTATATTCCAGAATTCACCCATGCAGTCAGCGAGCATGCGGACTCCCATGCAGACTTACAATGAATAACCATGTAGTGCAGCGAAATCAAGCGGTTCCATGCATAGTTTCCATAAACAGGCCCAAACCATCAGAGGGAAAAGCATATTCCAGAATTCATCAATGCAGTCAGCCGTTCCACAAGCGTCCCACGTTGTCCATGGGGGTTCAAATTCACCATGTAAGTGCATAGAGTCAAGTAGCAGGAGAAGCAAGAAATCCACCATGCAGGCCAACGTAAGTCAGCTTCGCCCACGCATGTACTTGTACCACAGTGCAGAAAAATCTTTCAGGTCCAGCCCTGGCAACATGCTCCTTGTGTATCATGCAGGAAAATGCACTGGAGTGACATCCAAATTCGCTGGAATGCCATTCAAATTGGCGACCAAGAGAGCTTGGTAGCCCTGAGCCAAAGGCTTTAGCGACTTTCAACTCCGTATTTGGTGGTCCCGTGGTGTCCGTGCCAAAGCAGCATCCACATACAGGTACCATGTACGGGCACGAATGCGTGCATACGTATCATGCAGGTCCATATAGAACTCCGCTGGCACTTTCCGTGCTGTCCTGAAGTGCAATTGCAAGATTTCATCGCATCTCTGCGCCAGACGCCTCCAGTAAGCAGCAACCAGCGGGAGCAGGCTCAGGTGTTCCATCCCAGGAGTGCTCCGGATGTCATCCAGAAAGCCCAATATTCTGGGCAAACAGTCTCGGGTTCGCCGAGTCCTCCATGGTCTCGACAAATTCCTGAATTCCGATGCCATCATCCATCCAGGCAGGCAGGCGTCTGCTGAGGCCAAAGGTCATGGCACAACGAATGAAGGTGAAACTAAGGTTCAGTATGTCCGGGGTCATGCTTAAGTAGAGGTTATAAAGGTAGGCGAGGGAACTACACTAGCAGTTGGAAGAATAGGTGCAGAAAGGAACCCCAGCAGGCAATCAGCAGCATCCATCATCAGTTCGTCAGTGTTTTGCACACATCAACGATTTCTGGGTTTGTGAGTTTGGGGTGTTACTACGCCTCCTGACTGTCCATGACCTCGATCACGTCGTGGCAGTCCTTTCGAGAGGGCTGAAGCTGCAGGAATTCCTGTAGCGTGAGCTGCTTTAACCTGGGAGTTTCTTCGAGGGCTTCTTTGAGGTCGGTTTTTGAATTGATACGGAAGCCAAGATCAAGCAATTGGTCAAGGACTTCTGAGCTGAGGGACCCTAGATTGATGGTGTTAAATGCAACTAAGACAACCCGTTGTTGGGGATCAATGTGGGGAGGTACATATCCAGCATGGAGGCATTTCCGGGCATTCAGCAGATAGGGTGTGTCAATGGACACAACTCGTCCTTTGATGCGGGTTCCCAAGTGCTCCATGACAACATCCCCACAGGAATCCTGTACCCAGAGGCCTGCTCCTGGCAACGGCGGTGAAATTTGCATCACAAGGGACTGATTGCCTCCATTATTGGTATCTCGGTGAGGCCTTGACTTGCATCCCCTGAAGAGAATACAGCAAGTAAACCTAAACCTCGGGGCCACAAACGCGATCATTTTAGTAATCACAAGGGTCGTGAAGGGCATCTCAATCGAAAAACTGAACAGACACTTAGAGTTACGCGGGTTGGACCCAGTGCCAAAATATCGTGTCCCGTCTTTGGCCCCTCTTCTCAAGTAAGTGTTCGGGATCATGTTGAAGAGATTGAAGACATCCCTTGGGGTAGGAGGTTTAGGGTGCCGGAGGAGGAGAAGAGCACGATACTCAATTGGTTTGAGGAGTGGATCGGCGCTCAGGGCAAAGGGTGGATCAAGGGGAAGTGTCTGCATAGAACTCAAAGGAAGGTAAGGGGAATATCCCGTATTCTCAACCTCAAACCCAACAACTTCATCAGGGTCCCTTTCAGTGGGTGTTGTTTCATCATCAAGTGCCACAGGAGTGGTGACCGAGGGACCTGACAAGGCGAAGGGAAAAGCTTGCATCACAGCAACAGTGGTTCCGACGAAAACGCCCAGAGTTATAACAGCTGACCCCTTTAACTTCAAAAGTGCTGGGAGCCAGTGTGAACATGCAGCAAAACCGAGTCCTAGGAGAGGCCATGTAGTTGCTCGCAACTGTATTTGCGGTCCTTTTTCTGAGATTTGCATGGTATCTTAAGGTCGCCTGCTAGCATTTGACACGGCCTGGAGACCATTGAGCGTTGGGACCACATCAGTTTCCAACACTGATCTCAGGTGCGAAAAGGACATCTTGACTTGCTTGAAATTCGTTTCATTATTAATTACCAAAGCCTTTGCGTGCATGGTTTGATCTTCACATGCTCTACGAATTCTTTTAAAATTCTCATCATGTGCTTCCAGTTGTTCGACGAAGTTATCCATGGAAGCTTCAACTTGAGATATGCGGTATCCCAGGTCATGCACAATGGTTTTGAATTCATCTCCAAACTGTCTGATGAGGGACTCCACATCTTCTCTTTGTCGAAGCTGTTGTGCCAGGGTTTCCCCGAGCTTGCGATCATTCATGCGCACCAGCTTGAGGATGTTGTCGCATAAATTCTCAGAAAACAAAGTTCCCTCCACAATAACCCCTGCAGTGGTGGTGTGCTGTTCCAGTGTGGAGGCTTCCAGTAGCTGAATTACCTTGAGGATCCGCTGTGTAAAGGATCGAACATGCAAATACTGACGAAGCCCAAATTCCCAGAGTCTGTGAAGGCCCCAGACCAGCAAAACTGTTACGAAGGCATACCACAGAGTTGGAACATCCATGGCTCGCTTGGGTACGGTCTCAGGAAGGCTGCTCACTACAACTAGTGACAACAGAACCTGAAAACCATCGGTGCGTGCAAGCAAGTCCTGACTACAAGGGGCGACAGGGCCTGAAAACCGTCAGTACATGCAAGCATGCAGAACTTCAAAGCAACTCTCATTCAATAAAGGCTCTCTTTATGCTCTGGGACTCATGAGGCTCGAAGTACATTGGTGGCTGCAAGAGCCAGTATATGCAAATCCG